TTTTGTTTGCATGCTTCATTTCTTGAGTTCTACAGCTTCATTAAGGAATATCCTAATTTGATTTGATATTGATTTCTGGCTCTTTATTCAGTTTGCGGTTTATTTTCTAGAATTTAAGAATTGTTGTCTTTCATCTACTCAGAAAATTCTTTGCTATTATATCTCTAAGTATTGCCTATTTGGTTTTGTTTTTTTTAATGTGTCTGTGTTGAGGGGGTAGGTTCTCTCCTAGTTCTCTAACTAGATATATTGGGTTTTGTTATTCTATGTCTTCTGTATCGTTACCTAAATTTTATATTATTTTTATACTATATATATGATAGATTCAGCATTTTAATGGACCACTGTTCTACTGCTGCGTTTTGGATAATTACTTCAATTCTATTTTTCAGGTGACCTGGAAAATACCTGATGATTTGAATAAGTCCAGCCTTTGGGGTTGATTTTGTGGTTTTTTTTTTTAAATTTTTTATACTGGCTTTATTTGTGTATGAGTTGTTTCTATATTTGTTTAATGGTTTCTCATTGTTAGTTCATGTTTCTTGAAAATTTATGCTTGATAAAGGATGTCTGTGTTAGTTTTTGCTGGTTACTTGAAGGCCCAATCAACCCAAAGGCTTGTGGCTAAAGTTTTTCAGGCCACATAAATAGTGTGAACAGTAGCTCCAAACCCGTGTTGTTTAGGGTTCTGGCTTATGAATTGTCTCAATTGCCTTTTGTTTGTCTGTCTGTTCCATACATTCATAGCCAAGATCTACATAGCAAACCCTCTGCAGGGAGAAGTTCTTATGTTCATAGTTCACTCACTGAGAGTGTTGTCCTTTGGTGGTCTCAGGTTTATTAGGATCTCCCTAATATTGGAACTCCAGGCCTTGTCTGCTTTTACTTGGCCTTTTAATGTGGCCTATTAAAATTCATATATATATGAATTGAAAACAGGTGTTGGGAACAAGCCCCCCAAAATCTGGCCATAAACTGGCCCCCAAACTGGCCATAAACAAAATCTCTGCAGCACTGTAACATGTTCATGATGGCCATAAATGCCCATGCTGGAAGGTTATGGGTTTACTGGAATGAGGGCAAGAAACACCTGTTCAGCACAGGGCAGAAAACCACTTAAAGGCATTCTTAAGCCACCAACAATAGCATGAGTGATCTGTGCTATAAGGACATGCTCCTGCTGCAGTTAACTGGCCCCACCTAGTCCTTTAATTCGGCCCATCCCTTCATTTCCCATAAGGGATACTTTTAGTTAATTTAATATCTATAGAAACAATGCTAATGATTGGCTTGCTGTTAATAACTACGTGGATAAATCTCTGTTTGGGGCTCTCAGCTCTGAAGGCTGTGAGACCCCTGATTTCCCACTTCACACCTTTATATTTCTGTGCGTGTGTCTTTAATTCCTCTAGCACCGCTGGGTTAAGGTCTCCCTGACCAAGCTGGTCTCGGCAAACAGGTACTTGAACAGATATTTGTACATCAACGTTCATGGGAGCTTTATTCACAGTAGTCAAAAGGTGGAAACAATCTAAGCATCCATTGATGGATGAATGGATAAAAAAACCAAAATGTGGTGCATACATACAATGGAATACTATTAAGCCTTAAAAAAATGAGATTCTGATACACACTACAACATGGATGAGCCTTAAAAATATTATGTTAAGTAAAATAAACCAGCCACAAAAGGATAGATATTATTGTTTCATGTATATGAAATATTCAAAATAAGCACATTCTTAGAGACAGAAGGTAGATTAGATGCTATCAGGAGCCGGAGAAGAGAAAAATGGATTAGACCACAGTTTAATGGGTGTAGAGTTTCTGTTTGGGGTGATGGAAAAGTTATAGAAGTAGATAGAAGTGATAGTTGCATAACAGTGTGAATGCAATTAATGCCACTGAATTGTATACTTAAAATTGTATCTTTAATGTTATATTTATTTCAATTGCACTTAAAAGAAATTCCAAATAAAGCCAAATCTCAGCCCCCACATATTAGCAGATGCTCTCAGAGCATTCTCTGACTGTAGTGTTCACTCAGCCACAGCTCTTAACATCCACGGTTTCTGATTTTTGCCCTTTGTTTACCTCTGCCTTGCCATATTTTAAAACTATGTTAAAATATATCTATCTTATTCAGTCTTGAGGTAATCAGTTGAAATATTTTTAGAAACAATTTTCCCCTGGAGAAATTTGTGAATCAGAAAGCACATATCTGATGGTTGAGAGCAAGGATAAAAGGTATCTATTGTTTGCACCAGGAGCACACATCCCAGTAATGATGGGTGGATTTGCCCGGCCACATCATTCAATCTTGCCCCGTAGTCCAGATGACCCCAACACTTGTGCCAAGTCAGAGGATTCAGAACATGATGGCTACAATTGAAACTCACTCATCTCCAGCTGCCTGCTCATTTTTCTGGCCATTCAGGGGGAGATTCAAAATCTGCTCTTTTGTTCCTCTCTTTTGCTCTGTAATTATATTTGCTTTCACAAAAAGCTGTATGAAGGCTAAGTCGGAGATTTGTGTGGTGCAAGATGTCTCAGACGGCTTTCTGTCCGTAAATGGAAGATGAGGATTAATTCCTTTATTTCTCAAGTAAATCAGTGTGGATCCATTGGCATGCTGCTAGCAAAAGTTCCTTGATCAAATACATTTTTCACAATGTACAGACTGCCAACTGTTGTTACAGCACTCTGAAAAGAACATTTTCTTGACTTTAGTGTCAGTTGTGTTGACTTTGAATTTAGAGGGGAAAAAAAGCCATTAACCTCTAGAAATTATAGAAAAATGGTGTAGCTGTATGGTATGGCAAAGTAATGGATAAACAATTATATGCAAATGAATGCAGATACTAGAGGTCTTAGAGGGTAGACTCTCTAACTTCTCAAATGATTCTCTTGCCATAATCTTGTTAATAGTGGAGCACATGTTGAGTCTTTGTTGGCCTTTTAACACTTTTGTGAGGATGTACTAACAAGTCAGCCCAACCTATCGCTTTTTCAACTGTATTCCTAGGAATAACCAGTTATGTGAGAGCTCAAGCTATTTTAAACAGCCTGATTACATGCATTGATTGATGATTGGATTCAGAATAATTTTCTTTCCTTGAATGAGAAAAAGTGCCGCTATTGACCCTGTTTGTTCAATCAAAATGGTAATGCAACATAAAGCATGCCTGCTTGCGGCACCAGCAAGCCAGGGAGAGTCTAAATTATGCAGGGTCTGCCTCTAAGCTGTGTTTATGAATACAATTGATTGACATTGCCTATGGCCCCTCCTCAACACACATGCATCCACATGAGCTCCTCTTATTATAGATAAACAAGGCATTGGGATTGCAGAAATGGCTTTACTCCATATTTCACTGGAAAGATAATCACTACTCTTCCTTATTTGTGGTTAATATGCCATCATGTGTAAAAGGGAAAATGATTAGATGTAATGTATTAGCAGGAGCACTGAGAGTCTACACTTGGTAAAGAAAGTAGATTATTTAAATATCTGCCTGGAGTTTTGTGTTCTTTAGATCGCATAAAGTGCCCCTCTAATGACAAAATGTGTCATTGTACTCCATTTCTTTCATGTTTCACTTGTTGCTCTGGAATTGCCTCCTTGGCCTCCCACTTCATGAGCACTTCAGCCCCTTGTGAGCTCTGTCTTAGCAAACACTGCCAAAGGGGCACAAAAATCTAGAAGGCATGTTGCCATCTGCTTCCACAACCTGATTTTTCAAAACAGCTTCACGTAGTGTGTGGGTGAAGTGATAGAGGAGACTTGCAATAGGGTTGAATGGAGATGGGGTCAGGACAGGATTCAATAAGTAGGGAAAAAGACCAGAAATTAAAGCAAAAACAGTGTAGGGAAGAAGTGTTACTTTTTCTGCTTGCACAGAGGTGGCCCCTCTTCTGGGAAATGTACCCTCTTACTTCTATGAAATTTTCTTCTTCCAGACCAACCATCCAGTGCTGTTGTGGGGCTTTATGTTTTTGAGGACCTCACACTGTTGGTCACAGTTGATTGGTTCGGGGATGGCGACCCATTGACATTGTGATCATGCTTCTGATTTTGAGTGAAGTTTAGAGGGTGCACATTTCAGTTATTTTCTTATTGGTTTAAAGGGTGCAGATATGAGATGGAGAACCTGAAACATGTAAACCTTGAAGCTACCAGCATTCATGGTTTCAGTTGTATAAGGGAAGCTCATATGGAAGAAAGAATTTGTTATCTAGATACAAGGGGGAGCTGAAGAAAAAGCCTGGGTAGTATTTGAGACCACACAATCATTTGGTCGTCTCTGAGACCCAGTGGCATCCTATCTTGCTAGAAGCTCATGTATTTTGTGAAAACTAATTTGATTTGTATTTCTAATACTACCAGCCAAAAGTTCTGATTATTAGCACAAAATAATTTCCTCTGGAAAATGTACTGTTAAATCAGTTCTAAGGATTTCCCATAAGCTAAAGTTTGGATAATTTTTCTTGATGCAAAAAAAATCCTTTTTGATGGTTGGAATTATAAAAATTGGATGGCAGAGGCAGAAGTGATTGTTGCTTCCTTATACATTTCCCATTACTGCATTTCTTACATATATAATTATTTGTTAACATCCATAGCCCCTAAACATCCATGAGCTTCTTAAAGGAAGGTCTTCCTTTTGACTGTACAGTTTCACATCCTGGAACAGTTTTGGACAAAATAAAGCTTCCAAAAACCATTTGTTCAGTTGGGTTTAATTGTGCACCTCAGGATGCCTCCCTCCTAAGGATTTTGTCTCTCCTCAGGATTTTACACTGCCCTGACTGAAGTGTCAGGCATTACTCTCTCTCCCCTTCCCAGGATCTTTCACTTCTCCTGTGCCCACTGCAGATCCTACCTATAGTTCTGTTTCCCATCCTGGGAACTCTGAATCTCAGGGAATTCCAGGAACACCAGATAGCTTCGTGGCTTTAGGAGGATCAGCTCTTTGATATTCTGTTGTGTCTCTTTTCAGAAACAAAGCTCCAAATTTGGAAGCAGCAGTCAAACTCCACAGGTAAGAAATAATGTCAATCATGGCCCATTCCATTTACCTGGTTGGACACTTGGATGATTTATCTCAGCAGGTTTCTCTTCAGAGAACATTTGTTACCTTTTCCAAATCCCTGTAATGAAGTCAGCATTTAGTTTCAACTCTGGAAAAAGGCACAATTATTTTAACCACAAGTCTATATCTCCTCAACTTCCCATTTATTTTAGAAATGTAGGTGGGAGGAAACTTTTTTTTTTTTGAGATGGAATTTCACTCTTGTTGCCCAGGCTGGAGTGCAATGGCGCGATCTCGGCTCACTGCAACCTCCGCCTCCTGAGTTCAAATGATTCTCCTGCCTCATCCTTCTGAGTAGCTGGTATTACAGGCATGCGCCACCACACCCAGCTAATTTTTTGTAATTTTAGTAGAGACGGGGTTTCACCATATTGGCCAGGCTGGTCTCGAACTCCGGACTTCAGGTGATCCCCCATTCCCAGCGTCCCCAAGTGCTGGGATTACAGGCCTGAGCTACCAAGCCCGGTGGGTGGAAACATTTTTTTTAAGTGCCTGCTCTAGAGTTCACATGTGCGTTTTTCATTTAATGCCTCTTTGACAGTAGATAGAGGAACTGGCACTCAGAGAGATCCAGCATTTCACCCAAGGTCCATATAGTACCTAGCAGAGCAGGACATGTTAAAGAGGTGGAACTTTGTCATATTCGAACCCTCAGAATGCCCACAGTCCTCACCGTCCATTAGGTTATCAGTGAATGATGACGAACTGAGCTAACCTAGCTTCAAAACCTAACTGTCAACTATTACCCAATATTCTTTTAGGAAGAGATAAAATGTCATTTAGATATTCCGGGTCATCTACAAAACTCTTATTTGTATTGTTTCCAATAACGTTGATTGGATTTGCACGTAATAATTTGTTGTTTTTAAATATTGGACTTAAGTTCCAGTATTGTCCAAATTTTTAAAAAAGTTGGCTTCATTGCTTCTGTGTAAGACCATAGCTGTTTACCTCAGTTTGAATCTACCAAAATGGGTTAGGGTGACCTTTGAGGAAGGAACTGTGTCTTATGTATGTTTTGTATGTATGTAAATCAATGATGTTTGTTGAATTTATAGAATTGTGCAAGTGTCACCATAATCCAGTTATAGAATTTTTATCAACCTCAAAAACTTCTCTTGAGCTGGTTTGTAGTCAGTCGCCACTGTAACTTCACCCACCTCCCCTGCCAGAGACATCTTCTGGTCTGCTTTCTGTCTCTGCTTTTGTTTTTTCCCCTGGACGTTTTATATAAATATAATCATACAGTATGTAGTCTTCTGTGTCTGGCTTCTTTTACTTAGTGTATTGTTTTTGAGGTTCAAATATATTGTAATTTGTGTCAATGTTTCATTCCTTTATAATGCTGAATAATTCATTCATGGATATAGAGCACATTTTGTCATATTATCCATTTATCATCTGATATTTGGATTGTTTAGTTTTTGGCTATTATATTAATAAAAGTGCTTTATGATCACTTGTATTAAAACTGTTGTGTTGACACATTTTCATTTCTCTTGGGCAGATTACTGAGGGTGAAATCACTGGATCATATGGTAAGTTTACATTTTACTTTTTAAGAAACTGTCAACCTGTTTTCCAAAGTGGCTACACCACTTTACATTTCTACCAGCAACATATGATGGCTCTATTTTCTCCACAACCCTGCCAAAATTAAGTATTTTGCATTTAATGCAAAAATCAGACTTTTTAATTATAATCATTCTAGTCGGTTTTTAATGTATCTCATGTGTTTAATGCCATTTTCTCAATGACATAACGTATAGTAGCTTTTCATGTGCTTATCCAATTGTGCCTTCTTGGGCGAAGCCATGTGTACATCGTTCTTGGAATATACAAGCTTTGCCAATTTTAAGAAAATTGGTCATTTGTCTTTTCAGTTTTGAATGATCATATGTATCATATAATACTATTTTATGGTATTATATGATGTTATTAAATTATATATTACATATTATGCTTTATAATGTATATTGTAGAGGAAAGTCCTTTATCAGATATATATTTTCCAAATATTTTTTTCTCAGGCTATGTGTTGTCTTTTCATTTTCTTGATGATGTCTTTTGAAATGCAAATGTTTTTCATTTTAATAAAATACAATTTATCATATTTTCTTTTACGACTTAAACTTTGGTATTGTATCTTTGCCTAACGCAAAGTCTTGAAATGTTATTCTTGAATTTTCTTTGAAGAGTTTTACAGTTTCGGCTTTTACATTTAGGCTGATAATTAATTTTGAGTTAATTTCTGTGTGCAATGTTAAGTAAGCATCTAAATGCACCTTTTTGCTTGTGGATATCTAATTATACAAGCACTATTCATTGGGAAGACAGTTAAATCACCTTTGTCAAAAACAATTACTCATAAATATAAGGTTTGTTTCTGGACTCTTAATTTAGTTTCCTATGCCAATACTACATGTATATTCTACACTGTCATTTTATAGTAAGTTTTGAAATCTGGTAGTGTAAGTCCTCCAAATTTGTTCTTTTTTTGAAAATTCTTTAGACTATCTGAAATCTTTGCGTGTTCATATAAGGTTGCTATTTTCTAAAAAAAAAAGTCTGCTGGGGTTTTAACAAGGATTGCATTCAATCTAGACATCTATTTGGGGAAAACTGCATCTTAACACTATCAAGGCTTTTAATCTATGAGCATGGAATGTCTATTTATTTAAATTGAATTGAGTTTGGAAGTAATATATGGTATTTAGCCTAGAAATCATATACATCTTATATTAATTTTCTCCTAACTATATGATTCTTTTTGTGAGTAGAATTTTATTTTCTTATTTCCTGATTGCTTATTGCTACTATGTGGAATATATGTAGAATTTGTGGGTATTGATCTTTTATCTGCTAAATTTATTTGCTTATTCTGTAGTGTCTCTCTGTGTGTGTATGTGTGTGTGTGTTTATTCTGCAACATTCTCTATATGTAAAATTTTTACCCGTGAATAAACACAATTTTATTTCCTTAGATCTGAATCTCTTTAATTAAGCTCTCTATCCCTTCCCCTTCTCCTTCTCCTTTCCCTTCCTTCTCCAGCTCTTCCTCTGCTTCTTTTTATTTTCTCCTCTTCCTCTTTCTCTCTTTTCCGTCTCTTCTCCTCTTCATCCTCTTTTTCTTCTCTTGCTTTTTGCTTGTTTTTTTCTCTTCCTCCTTCTCCTTAATGACTTATTTAGTATTTCTATCAGCTTTTCATGTGCCTATTATCCATTTGTACTTTCTTTGGTGAAGTCATATGTACATCTTTCTTAGTATACACAAGCTTATTATTCTGCTTTGCCTTAATGTACTGGTTAGAATTGTCAATGCAATGTTGACTAGAAGTGGAGAGAGCATACCAGAACATCCTTGCCTTGTTCCTAATCTCGGGGAAAGGATTTAGTTTTTCACCATTAAGTATGACGTTAGATGAAGGGTTTCTTTTTGTTGCTTGTTCGTTTGTTTTTTGTATTTTTAGGTTAAGGAAAATTTCAACTTTTTCTTGTCTGTAGTGAGATTTTTTAGGGGTGGGGGTTTGGGATCTCACTCTGTCCCCCCGGCTGGAGGGCAGTGGCATGATCATGGCTTGCTGCAGCCTCAAACTCCTGGTCTCAAGTGATCACCCTGCCTTAGACTCCGAAAGTGCTGGGAGTACAGGCATGAGCCACTATGCCCAGCTTGTGAGATTTCATTATGAAAGGGTGGTACATTTTCTCACAAGCTTATGCTTCATCCTTGGGGATAGTCATGTAAAATTTTCCCTTTATTTTATTAATATGAGTGGTCTATTATTGTAAGTGATTTCAAATGTTTAATAAACCTTGTATTCATGATATAAACTCCACTTGGTCATGGTGAATAATTTTTATTATATGTTTCTGAATTTAGTTTGCTAAGTTTTTTTGTTTTTTTTTTTTTAGTATTTTTGAGTCTGTGTGATGAATACTGGTCAGAAGTATTCTCTTCCTGATAATGCTTTTGTAAGGTTTTGGTGTCGAGATAATATTGCTCCTATACTATTACTAATGAAGTGTTTGTTTCTATTATATTTTCTGGGAGGATTGTGAAGGAATGGTCTTCTTTAAATGTTTGGCTGTAATTCACCAGTGAAACCCCTTGGGTATAAACTTTTCTCCAAGAGAATATTTTTAATTGATAAATCAACTTCCTTGTTATGTCTATTGAGATTATTAATTTTTCTTCTGGGTGAATTCCAGTGAAGTGTGCCTTTCTAGGAATTTGTCCATATAGTCTAACTTGTCTAATTTGTTGGAATACAGTTAAGCTAATATTTCCTTATAAACTTTTTAGTTTTTGTGGAGAAGATTGTAATATCCTTTTTTTCATTAGTAATTTTGATAATTTGTTACTTATTTTATTTTGTTAGTCATTCTTACTGAGAGTTTGTAAATTTTGTTGATGTTTAAAAAGAATAAACATTTGGTTTGGTTGATTTTATCATTATATTTCTGTTTTCTGTTACATTTTTACTCTAATCTTCATTGTTTAGTTTTTCTTGCTTTATATGTAGTTTGCTCCTCTTTTTATAATTTGCTAAGGTGGAAATAGGTCATTTGATTTGTGATCCTTTTTTTCTTTTCTTTTTGAACATGTGCATTTAAAGCTACAGATTTCCCTCTAGGACCATAATTGCCTTCATAAATTTTGATATGTTGTGTGTCTGTTCATAATTTCAATAGTATAAGCTACTCCTTAATTTCTACTTTGACTCATGGATTATACAAAGTATATTATTTAAGGTAAAAATATTATGATTGTTTCAGATTTGCTCCTATCACGAATTTCGAATTTAATCTTGAGCTGTCAGAGAACATACTTTGTATACTTTCAATCTTTTCAACTCATTGAGAATCGTTTTATGGCCCAGAAACTGACCTATTCTCAATAATGTTCTATGTGTGTTCGAAAAAAAGTTTGTTCTGCAGATTTTGGTTGATGTGTTCGACTAATATTCCTTAGAACAGGTTGTTTGACAGAGTTATTTAAATTCTCTATGTCCCTGTTGATTTCCTTTCTAGTTTTTCTTTCTTTTTTTTTTTTTTTTTTTTGTATTTTTAGTAGAGACGGGGTTTCACTGTGTTAGCCAGGATGGTCTCTATCTCCTGACCTTGTGATCCGGCCGCCTTGGCCTCCCAAAATCCTTTCTAGTTTTTCTATTATTATTTGGGAGTGAAGCATTGACATTTTCAACTATTCTTAATATTTGGCTATTTCTCCTTTGAATTCTGTAAGTTTTTCCTTTACGTATTTCAGGATTTTTTTTGGTGAGGTTTTATACATTCATATTTTTAAAATTTTCTAACGTATTAGTATTTCATCCTTATGAAATATCCCTCTTTAACTCTAGCAGTATTTGTTTTAAAATGTATTTTGTGTAAAATTAATGTAGTCAGTTCAGCTCTTTCATGGTAATTATTTGCATAATATATGTTGTATTTTTTGCCATTATTTTCTTTTCAAGCACTTTATGTCTTTCAATCTAATGTGTTCCTCTTGTAGACAACATTTAGCAAGGTTGGCTTTTTCTCATATTTCTCTAAGGCTCTTTTCACTTTTTTTGCCTTTTCTTTATATCATATAATTTTTATTGATCAATATTCAAGTTCACTAATTCCTTATGCCATGTAATGCCACTTTACATTTTATATTATATAATGTCTTTGTTACTTGCATTTTTACTCAGTTTAACAATCTTTACTATTTGAATGAGGTTTGAATGGTAGACCATGTTTAATATAATTATTGTTGCGTTTGGTTTTAATACTATTTTGATACTTGTTTACCAATTGTCTTATTTCTGGTTTCCCTGTTTCTCCTGTATTGCTTTTTGTTTTGTTTTCTTTTGTTTTGAGACAGAGTCTCGTTCTTTTGCCCAGGCGTAATTTCAGCTCACTGCAAGCTCCGCCTCCCGGGTCCATGCCATTCTCCTGCCTCAGCCTGCTGAGTGGCTGGGACTACAGGTGCCCAACACCACGCCTGGCTAATGTTTGCTTTATATTTTTAGTAGAGACGGGGTTTCACTGTGTTAGCCAGGATGGTCTCGATTTCCTGACCTTGTGATCTGCCCGCCTCAGCCTCCCAAAATGCCGGGATTACAGGCGTGAGCCACCGCACCCAGCCTCTCCTCTATTGCTTTTTAAAGCCAATATTTTGCATATGACAATTCAAGTTTTCTGATGATTTCCTACTGATAGTTTTAGTATTTTCTTTGCTGTTTCTTTCAGAATTACAATATGTTTCTTAACATAAACCCAATTTACCCATAAACCCAATTTACTTCATTTACCATATTGCAATAAAATACATTAATAAAATTTTGTTCCAACATATCTTCTGTTTGTCTCTCCATTGGACTAATACTGTTATATAATGTTACATATATATTTTATAAATATATAATCTATAAGTTTTTCTTTATTTATATTATTAAAATGTACATTCACAGAGCTTTTTATTTACCAAAGCCTTTACTATTTCCAGTGTTCTTCGTTTCTACTTTTGGATTTGAGCTACACCCTCTGGTAT